GGAGATGAGATGATCATGATATGTCGGTCCTATACATACATACATATACATATATATATATATAGGTGTGGGCAGCAATAAATTAAAAAAAAAAAAATGTTTATTGAGAAAAAAGTGGATGAGAGAGAAAGATAGAGAAAAAGGAGGGCTAGAATCATTGGATCTCTCTTTGGGTATTCTCTGTTCCCACTATATATGTATATATATATATATATTGTAAAGCCTTACACACACACACGCTTGGATCAATTTGACACACGTATACTTGGATCAATTTGTGATGAAAATTAGGATTGAAAAGTGTGACAATTTATTCAAAAAATATGTAGAGTTCTTAATTTCTTTGGTCTTTGTCTTCTAACGTCACGCGTTAGTATAGTAGGTTCAGATAATTCTACTTAAAGGCCTTGACTTTTGGCACGTACACATTCACCTTTTTTATTTTAACAAATATACATTGAATTATATACTTTGACTGGTTCAAACAAAAAAAAAAAAAAAAAAAACGAAGATGATGACATCAAAAAATTCATAATGATTCAGTGATGGATAAAAAGGACATTAAAGCAAATTGAAAAAAAAAAAGGCCATCTAGGGATAGGGCAATGTTTTGTCTTTTCTTCCATCTTTCCTTCTAATTTTTTCAACCTTTCAACTAAACGTAACATAACTAATAAATTTAATTATTTTTTCAGAAACATATTTATTTATTTATTAAATAAATTATTTAATTAAAGTCTTATGAGTACATATTTAGATCCTTTTTCTTTGTATAATAGAAATTTTATTTTAGAAAAATATTATTTTCTTGCAAATTTAGGAGTCTCACCACATACAAATTTAACATTCCGCGTATTTTCAATTTTTGCGAATTGAATGTACAACTGTACCTGGTTCATTTCTGTCTTAGTCTTGACAAAGATGAAGTGTATCTCATTCATTTGAAACATTACTATCATCAGCAAGCTTTTGTATTTCAATTGAATGTACAACTGTACCTGGTTCATTTGAATCATGTATTTCAATTTAATAGCCTTTCCAACTCATGTATTTCAAGCTTTTGTATGGTAATTAATCATGTATTTCAATTTAAAAATAAAACAAAAGCTAATACCATGTGATCAACTTGTAATTGAGGTGCTAAAATTAATTTAATTTTTAATCCCATTCAACTTTTTGGATTAACAAAGCAAATTGGCTGTCAAACCACACATTTTGTTGATCTCAATGCGCAAAAGAAACCATGCCAGTTCATTGATGATCATGTGCACTCATCCAGATAAATTACAAAAAGAAATACGTAATTAACCCTAAAATATGACTAAATAATCTACAAATACATTCTCTAAAAATGTTTGATACTAAAATTTTCAAACTGGTGGGCTGAAACGTGAATGCTTACTTTTTCATTCACAGACCTAGTACGTATGGTCCAAACTGCACCTATCACAAGTCACTACACCACCTTAATTAGTGGTTATAACTTCCCTTAATACACAATTTGGTGTAGAAAACTTGTCATTAACAAATTAACAAATCTCTCTCTCTCTCTCTCTCTCTCTCTCTCTCTCTATATATATATATATATATATATATATATATATATAAACAGATTAATTACATGAATAATTGAATATACCACGACCTAGCATTTAATTTTTACTGCCAAGTAAGGAAAAAAAAGGGATAAACTAATGACTCGGGCTCAAAAACCAGCTATATATGTTTTAATTATAATGATACGAGTATTTATTTAGGAAAAAATTTTCTAATGATATTTTAGGAGTAAATATTTGGTGCACTTATTATATCATGTTTTTTGTATGTCAAATCAATAATAAAAAAAAATACATATAAACTTCTTATCAACATTTTTTAGGCGTAAGTGTGAATAAAAAAAATATCATATAAACTTGTAAGATTCATAGATTATCAATAATGAACGTCTATAACATCTTTTTAACTAGGTTCAATTGAAAAACAGAGTTATCTTATGTTTAAAAATGCCTAAAGAAAGAGATGTATTTCATTTTCATTGAGTGAAAATATCAATGACATGATATGACTACCTCCCACGGACTTCTAAGGCTCCAAGCCGTTGTGAAATATATATTTTTAAAGTATTAAATACTAGAAATTTTTTCATATCATAATTATATATATGTGAAATTCTAATGTTGTCCCCTAAAAAAAAAAAAAAAATCTTTGTCCGTTCGGCATGAGGGGAATGAATGATAAATAATTCGTTGGAATGCTGATAAATTGCACACGGTTTCACATTGTTAATGTGCGTAAGCATTAATACCTTCCAATTTACATACATATATATATATGCGTAAGCAATCCTTATTTGTATATTAAAAATTTTAACTAATCAATACAAAAAACATTTAAAAGCATCTTGGGAACTACATAGAGAAAACAATTGATAACAAACCGTGGAATTATATATATATATATTGGGGTCAAATGTTTTTGTTGGATTAAGGATAGTAAAAGACCAGATTCATTCAACTTTGAATGATCAAGTTGTTTCTCCATTTAGTGTTTTAATAAATATATAGTTTATACACATCCAAGGATCTTCTTGGAAAAAGGGTTTTTATAAATTATTCTCAATCAATTTATTATCCTGATTGTACATACATTTATTATATGCATAATATATATTGTAATATATATTGTTTTCTTTAACATTTGCACTAATTAAGATGCGATGCATGTTCTTGTATCTTCGCGATATCATGGGAGATTTTGTGTTTTTGGAGGGCTTGGAATATTCAATAAATCATGATTGAAAAATATCTTCTATTTTATAAACCAGTATCTCTCAATATCTTTTTTTTTTTTTTTTTTGGCTGTCCAACCACAGTATCTCTCAAGATTCATTGTTTTAACTTTAACTTACTGAGAAAATAAATAAAGAAGATTTCATTGTTTTTGGTTAATCTACGTTGGAAATCAAAGATGATATTTCAAAGGAGGTGAAGGAAATCTGTATTTAGTAAAAAAATTGTGGATATTCATTTCATATTTCTTTGGGCATATAAGGAGAATTTCATTTAAATACTTATAAACATCATTGAATCTCTTCAAATAATTCAAAATCTGAACTTCAATAACATAAAGCGGGTGTGAGAGTAGGAGTACATTCGAGAGCGAAAGTGCGGAAACGACAAAATTAAGTCACAAATAGTAAGAAACGGGAGCAAAAAACGTGTGTGGAGCGAGAGCACGCTTGAAGCATAAGAGCGACATCAATTGAGAAGAATTGTGTGACTTAAATCAGAACACAATACTCTTATTAAGATTTAAGATGCTTATGCATACTAATTCCCATGAAAAACATACTAATAAAAAATTGGGTTTGTTAATTTGGGGTGTAATTTATTATATCTTACGGGAAATACTCGATTGAAGTATTTCTATTTTAGAAATTACCCACCACTACGGAATCAAATCCTTACCTCCTGTATCATTAAGCTAATGACCTAACTGGTTCTATCGATGTGTAAACTTAAAAATAAAAATAAAAAATAGTGATGATTAGCGCAGGTTAATGTGTTAATTTTAGCTTTGGTGATACAATGGTAAAATACCACTTATTTTTCTAAACAAGAATATATAAGAAAAGAAAGAAGTCACTTGCTTACATAAATTGTACAAATGTGAAATAGAAATGATCATTTATACGTCTCATTTGCAATCAGTGAATATACTACAAAGTCCATTAAAGGTAGATATTAGATGAGTCGGACATGTCATGTCATGACCACCCAATCATACTATACTACTCAATAACGTGATACGCCTGATATACCTGATATCTTCTCGTACCAAACAAAGCCAATTTACACAAACAAATATATTTTTAGTAGGGAAAGTTAGTTCAACCAATTTTTTTTGCTAGTGGGAAAGCACTGGTTCGTGTGGAAAAGCTGGACACATACACCAATTGTTGGTTAGCCCTGTGTATATAATTCCAGCTCTTACCCTCTTTTTCAGATCCAAATGTAATTAGTGACATCTCCTCTGCATTTTGAGTGGAATATGTGTGTGTTTTACTTGCAACATTATAATAATAATTATAAAAGAAAACTTGGGGTAAACATTTTAAAAGTTGAAACCACTGCAAACTACCAAAACAAATTTAGGTCGCTGAAAACGCCCTTTTTGTCATGTAGCGAACCATACACGTTCAACACAATAAAATTGAGGTGCCCAATATTATTTCGTATCCATGAATCATGTTACAACCTTGATTAATCGTACCACTAACCAAGGCTGTAATACAATTAAATCATAGGTTTTATCTTGATTTAATCGTGTTGCAGCTCCGTTAATGAAAGAATACAAGAGGATCTGGATTGAGGCGTGCACACAAAAATATTGTCTAGACCTTCGACGTTTAAAACATGTTGATCTGTAATTCCATTCGAAATCTCAGCATCCAAACAGAGTCTCAGTTTTAATACATTTCCAATCACTCAAATGAACATCTGAAACGTCAAAAGTGAAATGCATTTTCTCCCATGCTTTTCACTAATTTTTAGTGCTTCTCATTACATTGTCATCCAGCTACATTGTGCTTCTCAATTTGAATCCTTCTTCTGATAAAATATATGAAATGTCAAATATGGTTTAACAAAAAACTTATATTTCCAAGACTTATTCGATGCTCCGACTAACCAAATATTTTCTCCATTGCTTCTGCTCAACCAGTTTCTTCTGTTTCTCATGCCATCGCTCGGTATTGTCCCCTCATGCTATCTCTAGTTTAAATAACCAGTTTGATTTGTCAAAAAGAAGCTTATATGAAAAATACTTGAGCAACATCTAACAAGATTAACAAAGGCATCAAATTACCAAACCAAAGGAAAGAGGCCATATTATTTCTCTCTCATTTTTTTTTTTTTTTCAGTACCTTTTACACATTTCCTTTCAAACTGATTGACAAAACATCAATCCCAAGTGATGCAAACACACAAAAGAAGGCCACATTAAAAATCAGCCCATCCTTAAATAATCGTCATCTCGATAGGCATTTACAGTTGAGAGAAGAAGGAAAAACAGAAGAAGTATTGGATGGATAAAAGCATGTGAAAATGCAATTAACACAGAACCTGGACTTTTTTGCTCTTTCACCCAGATACAACAAGCCCTTAAAGTTAGAACTCACGACGGAAAGGATTCCATATGTACAAAAAAAAAAAAAAAAAAAATTGATACAACACCCTACTCAATCATACAAACCCTCCTGCTCCCATATGTCCACTAGAAAATCTACCATTTCCTGTCAGTTGGAGACCAATTACAAATTAAACAAGAGTACCCAATAGAACAATAACAGAACTGTTTAAAGGCACCAGAAAGAACAGCTGACTTACAGAGAGAGGGATTGGCCTGAAGAAACGCTTGTTAGTCCCAAGCAAGTTCTCATAAGACGCGTTGCAGCTGCAACAACAAAACGAATTAGCTTGGAAAGGGCGGAAAAAAAAAAAAAAATGCGAAAACAAAACCACTGCGTCAAAAACATGGTTCTCAGATTACTATGAAGGGTATAAACTTTTCCTTTTGTAACCAGCGTAACACAAAACCACTACATCAAAAACATGACAAGAGCAAGGTAGAGACCTTAATCTGGGTTCACGAACTTGTTCCTGGTTCTCAGACCTATTATTTTCAATCCACTGAAGCCTCATCTGATTCCAGAGAAGGAGGCCTGAAACCAACACTGTCAAGGTTATATCACATGAAGTACCACACTTGGCACCCACCTTTTTATGGGTATTATGCACAAAAGGTGATTAAGAGTCACTAATGGATGCATGGACATCTTATTTTTCTTTCTTTTTTTTTTTTTCCAGGGAAGTTTCAACATAAGAACAAAACATTAAACAAAGTAAAACTTGCCATGATTAATAAATTCAGAATGGTTGCTAGTACTGCCAGTGCCACTGGAGTTACTGAGGCTCTGGTTTGATATGCCTATAGATGAGATGCTCCTCTGAGATTGAAATGCACTGTTGTCCATATCACATGTACTGGTGCTCCAGAAATCTTCTGATACGCTTGGTTTCTTCACCATCTGCCCTTGAATTCGCAGTCCCTGTGAGGGCTCATCCACAGCAATAATTGGTGAGGGTCTGGTGCAGCTTCCAAGACAACCTCTGCTCTGTTACAATTCAGGTTTATTCACATATACAATAAATGCCGGCAAAAAAATAACTCAATGGCATGCCAACCAACACAATATATGTAGTCTAGTCATTCAATTCTATTTTTCCAACTCAAATTTAGGCTGCATTTGGTATTGTAGGAGGAAAAAGAAAATAAATGACAACATTAGTTATGAGAGAAAAGAAAAGAAAGAAGAGGATAATGTTAACCCCTCGTAGTAGTTGATTAATGAGGGAAAAAGAAAGGAATAAGATAGTATTAACCTTAAATTGTGTTAAGAAAAGATTGTTAAGGGAAATGATTGTTATATTTTATGAGTAATAAGAGTAAACTAATATTCACTTGTTATAAAAAGGGAAAAACAGGTAATTATTAACTCTGCTATCATTTCCTCCATTTTCGTCCACTTCTAGAAGGGTAAGAAAATAAAGGCACAAGGATTAAGTGAACCCCTTCTTCTCCCTCCACATCCTTCCATTTTTCCCTTCAATTTCTTAAAACAGACACGAAATAAGGTTTCCCACCAAATCTTCCCCTTCCTCTTCCTCTTATTTTTATCAATCCAAACTGACTCTTAGGTTTTCAATTCTTCAACAAACTTCTGCATACCCATAATGATAATTTCAACAGTGTTTGACCCACTCATCAACAATTTAAATAAGGTACTTATTAGCAACCGAAAACTGAAGGGCAAAGTGTAGAAAAACAACCCTATATTATAGATTTTTTGTACAATGAAACCCTAAATTTTAATGTGTGGTTCAAACCCTACTTTTTGAAAAAAGTAGCAAATTAACTTTCTGCCAGAAAAAAATTGTTAACTTTGACATGTGACATAAAATAAATGTATAATTCCATAAATGCCCTTTTAACATGACAAAAATGCCCCTAACTATATTTTACCATTTTTCTACAACTCTCACCAATCTCTCTCTCCAACTCTACCAGCTTTCTCTCCCTCAATCCAACTCTCTCACCGTGTACCCTCAGGAAGGAGAGATGGTGTTATTTGTGTACTTTATGGGCAATTGTGGTTTGTCTTAGTGGTTTATGGACATTATTGATTCTATAATTCATCATAGAATCTTTCCTTTCCCAAAATCTCTTTTTCTTTTTTGCTCATACTGCCAGGAGGCGTTTTGTGAAATCGCTATAGTATAGAAGCATTGCAAGAGGAGAAATGGGTCCCTCCGCCATCAGGAACTCCAGCATCAAGCGGTGGTCGATTCATTGGATCTGATTAGAATCCATGTTTTAAATCTGGCTTCTCACCGGAATCCGATCGGAATCAAACTTTCTCTTGCCGTCGATATCATCTTATTGAACCAAGACCCGTCAACTACAACATGGGAAATTTAAGGTCCATGGATTCCGACAGGAATCTGTTTTTAAATCTAGCTTCTCTCCAGAATCCATGGATTCTGACTTGAATCCATGTTTCAAATCTCTCTGTATACAAGGTATTATGACTTTAATCTGGAAAATATCTATCATTTTTTCACTCTTATTTCCATATTTTCTTCTTTAGAGAGCCAGAAAGCTCAAGAAAATATTACCAGTTCTTAATAAATTTAAAGAAGTTGCCGAAAGGAATTGCCGCCGATGGGATTCTAGCCGATCAACTACAAAAAACAATGTTAAGGTAGAAATGGGAAAATAAATAAAAAAATAAAAGGAGAAGTAATTTTAGTCTGTTTGGTTGCCTATATTGAAAGAAGGGTATTTTAGTCTTTTTATTTAACCGTTATCGGAAAAGTGTCAAGAGGTCCTTATTTGAACACTTTTAAGACTTTAGGAGTGTTTAATGAACACAAGGGGGCATAAGCACTATATGGGGGTGTTTTCTGCATTTTACCCGAAACTAAATCACAATTGGAATGCTTCGAACAAGTAATTTAAATTCCTACTAAAGATGATGAGATCACACCAACTTCATGAGTATAATGTTGAAATCCAGCATATCATACAAATCTTGAACCCAAACACAATAACATGAATCTGCAAATACAACATCTTTCTTTTACCCATGTGAAAAATCAAGTAATAATCTAGTTCATCATGTGGAACACAATATCAGGATCATGAGGCTTTATAGAGTACACCAGAAAATGTCTTTTTTTTTTTTTTTGCCCCCCAAATTGATAAATGGCATTCCAAGTATTTAAAACATGGTTTGGTTTGCATTTGATAATTCATTGCTACGTATGTTGGGTTTAGGGGGGGGGGGGGGGGGGGGGGGGGGGGGGGGGGGGGGGGGGGGGGGGGGGGGGGGGGGGGGGGGGGGGGCGGGGGGGGGGGGTTAGAGGAGAGGGGAAATTTGACACAGTTGCCACAATCACAGCCAATTTCATTACCCAAAAAAACAAAAGAAAAATGATCAATTCAGCAAAGCCTTTTTTTGAAAAATTAAACAAAACAATCGATTTTATTTCATTTTTCTATATTTTCTCAGCAAACAAGCAGAATCTAAACGAAAAAATCTACAGAAAAAGATACAAAATTTATGGAATGAAAGCGAGAACTTACCCTATGCAAGCGAGAAAGTGACTGATCCAAGCAGTAAAAGAACGGTACAGAATCATTCTTCTCTTTTGAGTCGAATCAAACTCAGATCGGTTGAAGCATAGAGTGTGTAGAATCCACTATATGAAGGATCTGAAAAACCTGTCAATTGGAAGAAAATACAATTATTGTGAGCTCCAATAATGGACGAACATTTCTAGGGTTTCATGTATGTATAAAGTGAAATCAAAGTTAAAAAAAAGAATATTAACCACCGTCGCCGCCACTGCCTTTCTTTTTAGTTCTCTTTCTTCTTCCCTTTGGAAGCAGTTGTGAGTAATAATATTATTAATTATAACAGTAATAATGTGGATAAGATGTTAAATTCTCACTCATATTCTATATGGAATGGGTCACATGCTATACGCGTGCTCTTCTTGGGAGTAAAATTGTAAACCCTACAAATTTATTGATAATTTAATTGAAGGTTGTTTTTGTATTTTTAAGTCAAATGGGGGGGGGGCGAGAGCACTAAAGTTATAAAATTCAAGTCACACAAAATGAAGTGAGAAAAAGAGGACGTGGAACGTCCTAACAAAATTAATAAAATTTAAGTTGCACAAAAGGAAGTAGAAAAGATAGCGTGTTAAGCATGATGGCAACACCAAATTAAAAAAATTGTGTGGCTTAATATCGACCAAATAAAATTTTAAGTTATTCATAATTTTACTATATAAAAACTAAAATAAAGAGTTTCAAATGTATTTTTCAAAATTTCGTATAAGAGAAATGTTGACTGCATGTGAAAGATTGTCACTAAAATTACTTATATGATTTCATGATTAATAACTAGTTTGTAGCATCTATAACCCCAAGACAAAGGATAGTAAAAAAAAAAAAAAATTGATAATGTTAAAAGACTGAAGGGTAGAGCGCAATGTGGGGCTGATGTAACTAAGATAAATATTAATTTATGATTAGCTTTGCCAAACGTTGTGAGTCGATTGGCCAACCAATAAGCAGGGAATCAGCCACCTCATTGGCTCAATAATTGAAACACATAATAAATCAACTGAAATCTATCACACACTTGCACTTCGTAGAGCGTCGAGAGGTGGTTGAGATGTGCCACGGAATAAACCACAAGTTAGTTGCATTATTTGCCAAAATCCTCAACTGAGTTGGAACTTGGGTGATCTCAACTCCTTATTCCAAAGATCGAGAAAGTATTGAGTGCGTTTGATGCACAGTATGTATTGTGTACACGTACGTATGTGTTTTGCATATACAATTCGGATGAATTGGTGCACGGACACCAAACTATTCCCAGAGATCTAAGCAATGTGTCAAAGTATCTAATTCTAAAATCTTCTCCATATTCATACAGTAATTGCTCAAAATCGGGTCATTGCTCATTTGCTTGGACTAGTGATAAAGGTCATTCAACACTCTCAATTAGTGAGAACACACTCTATCGTTGGATTAGCTGTTCCACCTTTGGTTGGTTTAAGTGGAATTGGAGATAAAATACTGAGGAAACAAAAATGAAATTTCAAGGTTTTGTAGAAGTAGGTCTACCTGTAGCAGGACACATCACAGCATAGAATTTTTGGAATGTTTCGTGACAATGCCTCGCAAAAATGGAACCCGACTTCCGATCACATATACATATAATTGCATGCTAGGTTGAAATCCCTTCTGTTGAAATATAATAGTTTGCGATAAGAAGGATTAAATTCCAGAATCATAATTTCTCTCATTTACAAGAAGATAAAAGAAAAACGGGTTTTGCACAATCCAAAATTCCTGATATTTCATGAGCACCAGCAGGATGCCCAAGTTGTTTCCGGTGTTTTCTTTTTCGTAGAGGCATGTTAACATAAGAGAGTCGGGGAAAAAAAACATAGAACAATCAGTACAAAAGAACTAGTAACAACCAAAATGCAATCCAAGGAGGCCTAAAATAGGAACTGCATGTTATAACATCAACTAACAGTTCCCCAGCTGTATCTTCTACTGCTTATTGCCTTGTTTGAACAGCAAAGATGCCAAACTTGCTCTCCACCCATATATCATAGAGGGTACATTCTTGCCGGGTAAAACAGCAGGCAGAGCACCATGGAACCCGCGATTGACGGAAGTCTCCTGCTTTTCACTTGCCTCCAAGAACCTGGAATAGATCAATGTCAACAAATAATTTGAAAGTCCATTACACTGCTTATAGCAAAGATTCCAGCTGTATTGCCCGTCAAAAGAATATATCTAGTGATGAGCAGCTTCACCTCAATGGCAACATGAATTTTATCAAAATCAGGTCCATCTTCAAAAGAGTGTGTGTGTGAGAGAGAAAGACAGAGAGGTTTACGAGCAGACCCCACCACAAAAATATCGAAGTCGTTCTTGGAACCAAACCAAAACAACCTGTTGGGCTGGTTGAATGGGGAACCAGACAACAGACCATTATGCATTATCCTATTATACTGCCTGTGTCGAGATACTAGCAAAAAGCTGGTTCACCAGACCGGCTTAACATCTGAAACTATCAAGATAATAATAATGTACATAAAAGATACCCATTCTAATAATTTCGTAATAAAAGATGCTTTAAACAAAAGATCCGATAGTGATGATTCAACTATCCAAGTCGCAAACAGAGCCCCAGAAGGAGACCCCAATTCAGCTGCTCCAGTCCCTGTGGTGTGTATCACTGCTTATAAAGTACCAAAGCCCTACCCCATTCTGTTCTGTCAAGGCAGTAGCCAGCATCATCACAAAAACACCTTTTATCTTTTCTTCTGCTCAGCACCAAGGCATCTGAAGGTAAATCTCTTGTCCACCTCTTTCCTCTTCTTATTCTTCTTCATCTTTTTCTTTATTTTTAAGATTTTCCCTTCACCAACTTTTATTTTTCCATTTTACATAGATACTATCAAGTTTTCGCTTTGCAATGATTTAGCATTCATATTGAAAGCTGGTAACAATCATTTAGAATGCTTTTCACTACCTTAAAATGGTCACCTAAAGATGCTTGAAGTATACTCCACTCTGTCCCAAAATAAGTTTTTATTTATTTATATACTATTATAATATTATGGAATCCAACTTTTAAATAGAACATACATTATATGCATGCCTCCTTTTGAAATTCCAAAACTAAATTCCTACAAATTTCAAGATATACATTGTCAATTTAGGAAATTTGTAGGCTGGGAAAAGATAATGCATAAGAATACATACTGGGGAGGTGGTAGCCCTTCATATGCAAATGTTGACATTCCCTGTCTTTGCTTGTGCTTGGGGTTAGATGAACAATATATGTATACTCGCCCACGACGTTTGACTGTCCTACAAAACTCACACATCTTCTTCACAGATGATCTCACCTTCATGGCTACCTTATGTTAAAGACAGAAATTATCAACCATTTATAATAACCAAGTGTGAACAACAAAGGCAATAATTATTACAGAGATACATCATGGGAATTAAGTTAAACATCAACAGACAAAATGCAATATACTGTAGTAAGCAAGAACCATCACACTAAGGAATTGAAAATTCACTCACAAGTCATATGGCCAAATATCCTCCAATTATTGAATAGAGTATACAACTCAATTAAGAAATTCCCTACAATCGGCAGATCGGAACTAAGGCCACGATCATAGCTTCCCTTTCTATTAAGAAGACATCCAATTAATTTTTTTTTAAAATAATAATAATAATAAAGAAAGATATTAAAAAATAGCTAAAAAGAAAAAAATGCATCTCTGTGAACCATTTGAGGGTACTTTTCCGAAACTTGAACCCTGCACCTTCCCCTTTGAGAGTGGTAAAAGATATCACTCAGCTAAAAGATGGTGCCATCTCCTAAATTCTTTTGACAATCTCTCTATGTTGGCTCTCCATGTAGGGCCCCAAGGCATTCTTCACCAGATTGAATTGTTTCTGTCATGAGAAAGTAACTTTGTCTTATGAGGACATCCAATTTTATTTTTTTTGGTGGACATATCTCCTTTGATCAGGTGGAAAGCTCTTCAATGCAGTAATGACAATTTTACAACACGGGTATATATATAATAGTGTGGATACTATCTGTTGGTAGGATCAACCAAACAGGTAGGGAGGCATAGTTTGATTTTTTTGTAGCATTTTGATTGATGGCTTGTTACCATAAAAACAATAAAATTTGGACGCCCGTGCAAAAAGGTTTCATGTCTATCTTATTTTTGATGAAATAAAAATTAAAGGGTCATTACCCAGAATGGTTCCTAATAATTGGATTGCTGGGAGAGGGAAATTGGTTTAGACCTAACCCTTTGGCACTATTTGCACAAAGAGGTTGTTCTCGAATCTCAACCCGTACTTTCAACCAAAAAAAAAACTGAGGTTAACTACTACTCATGGATGATATGGGATTGATTATCCAGCCATCAAGTTGGAAAAACTAAAGATCTGTTTGATTGTACTATGGAAATAGAATGCCCCCATCAACAATTTAAGAAGAAATTTTATTTTGAATTGAGTCACTAGGGAAAGTGGGATCCGTATCAAATAAAAAGATACTTATATTAGTCATTACAATGAAAACCCATAAACAATCACATTTATTTTTTTATTTTTTATTTTTAAGTAATAAACAATCACATGTAAAAATATGGTGAGTTGGTTATTTTCCTTAGTAACCCCATTTTTTGTAATCTTTTTAATTAATTGCAACAAGGACATTCAAATTCAAGAAGGCATCAAAATGCACATTAAATATGCCTTTCACAATTCTATATATAGCTAATCTATTTTCAATTTGCAATCTACTCAAACAAAAATAGTCTTATGTTCCTAAATTTTATCCAGCATAAAAAAACTGGATAACTACACCGCAATTTATTTCTTATTAGTAACAGAAATGATTCTTCTCATTATTTTGATAATAATCCATGACAGTTTGGCATAATTAGTTCTGATTGGAACATACCCCCATGCCTCGAATCAGGTCAATATCTACCTAATGCAGTAAAAATTCATCCCCCTGAGGCAACTAGAACGATGGGAAATTAAATTTCAAATACGTTGAAACTCAGTTCTCTTCTATGGCAGAATATATCTCATCATACGGAAAAAAAATAACAATAATAATAATAATCGAAAGGAATTTTACATTTCCAAAAGACTCCAAAGCTGTTTGAAAATTTTATTTTGGTTATTGAAAGAGCTTTAAAATAAGATCAATTCTACCTTCAAAAGTCCGAAACCCTAATTAAATTGAAAAATCTTTTAACAACTTATAGTCACTGGTACGGTCATTAATTTATAGATCAATTATAAACCCTAGAACAAATGCACAAACACAACAACAGAAATGCAAGGAGAAGAAATTAAAGAAGTATAATATATGCATATTTATACAGTTTTGAACGTTGTTCGCAAGCACGCTTCTATATAAATATATGCAGTTCTACAAAGGCTCACGCATAGATAGAATTCTGACAGATATATACAAACATAAACATACATACATACATATATATATGCACATACATATCGACTGAGAAGCACCTGTTTGATCGGCTACGACTTGGGAGCTGTTGACGGCTGTGTGCTGTGATCAGAAATTACAGATGCAAAGTTGCCACTGTAGTATTGTTGTCTACCGTCGAGTCTTAGGCACTGCCACTGATGGGCTGGGCTTGATTAAAGTTATGGGTATCGGACTATAAGGATAGGCTTATTTTTTAAATCAATGGACGTAGAAAATATGGCCCAGTTGTATAGGCCGGACAAGAGTCACATGTAAGTCACACCATCTTTTTAAACGAGTAACGTTTTCAAGCTTCGATAGTATTTTCGTTCTTGTTTTTCTTTTCACGGTTTCTGAATTAATTTTTCTTCTTTTGTGCTCCACTCTTAAATTTGTTTTTGTTCCCGTCTTATGTGACTTAGATCATATACGTCTCAGTTGTATAAGCGGAACAAGAGTCTAGCTTTGCACCAATTTTATTTTTTATTTTTTTTAAGGACTAAAGCTCCTCCAAGCATTGGAGATCACCTTTGTTTTGTGCGATTAGCACTTGTTTTACAAAAACACACACACAAACACACAAAAATGAAGATTTGTTGGCAGATTAGAAAAATATGTTATGCTTTCTAGATATATAGATGGTTGATTAATGTTGAAGCAAGGATTTTACTTGTTAGTCGGTGATAATATCACTGTCTGTTCCAATTCTATTTAACATATTGGAATATCAACAGAAGTCAAATCCACTAACAAAGCACAAGTTAATTAATGATTAAAAAAACTAATCCTTATCTTCAACCGATCCATTTCAGGGCCTTATTGGTCACTAAATTAAACCCTAACTTTCAAGAGCAAGACATGGGTCCTACCTAAAATTGCCATATGATGTCACTTGTACAAAATGATTAGCTTGTGATTAGTATAAAGAACATAACCAAACAACAATGAAGACAATGAATGAAAAAGTGTTTTAGTTTCATAGGTTATAGCATTTGAATAATATTTTGTTTCTCTCTCAATAATACAAACAAAAGTGCCGACAAGAATGGTTTAAGACTAAGGAACATTATTGGTGGCATTTCTTTTGTATTTTGTTGCTTTAAATAAGTGAAAAGGCATTGGCTCTTTTGCTGACCAAAAGGAAGGGCCATGAATCACTTTAATAGAACCCTATGTTTTTTTAAAACACCTTAATTTTGTTTTGTAATATGTAATAAATTAAGATGGTGGTTTCGTGTCAAAGAAAATCTAGGAAGCATCTAACCATAAGATTTGTATGTGTCATGTTTACTTACTAATGTAGTGATTGTTAATTCAATTATTTGATCTTAATATACATTAGTGTTTATGTCGCCATTTTTCATGGTTCTGAACACATTTTTTGCCAAAAGACTAGCAATTTTATTGATCCAATGCTTTATTTTTTATTCAACTAATTTTATTTTCCTATCTCACTTCATCTCTGGAAACTTTGACCTTTTATGGTTGGAGTTTAGACCGAAATTCATTAAGACAAATGTAGACTAGTAATTTTTTTTTTATTATTATATTTTTATTTTGTCTCTTCTTAGATTATTATTTTTAGGTGGGCATGACACATTCATGATATTTGTTTTTTATTTTATTTTTTATCTCTTCCTAGACTATACTTTTTTGGTTCATGAAATTCAATTCTTAAGACCACACCCAAATTTTAGAGAGGAATATGATTAATTCAAGAGTCTCTAGTCCTAAAAGACTTGATTGCCACATCACTTTGTTCTATCCTGAATGCGTATTTACTTTTGTATTTTTTAAAAATAAATAATAAAAAAATTAAATAAGATTCAACCTGAATACCATTAATTATATCATTCAGCTAGGAGATTAGAACTCATAGAATTCTATTCTAAAAAATGTGACAACTTGCCCAAAAAAACAGACTTAAATACGATAATGAAATTATGAAGACAAATTATTGTTTGCATCATAAAATTAATTTTTTAATTCAAACACATGGTGTTGTTTGATTGGAGGAAAAAATATATATCGTGTTATTAAATATGACTCTTATTTAAAAATTGGAGTCTAAAGTTACGTCAGTTTTGCTTCAAAACAAAGGTATTTGGATAAAGTTTATAATTCAAATAATATTTGAATTTAAAAAAGAAACTGTAGCTACAAGATTTCTCTATAAATAGAGACAGGAGAGGTAGATCTCACAATCATTCAATAACTTTCTTACTTATGCAATTTTACTTCTTTGCAATTTCATGTCTTTAACTTGTACTGTACTTCTGTTTATAGGAGTAGCCTAGTGTTAGGTTTACACTTCTTGTATTCTGTATGAAAATTTTACTTATTAAATAAAAATCGATGCTTGACTTCAGTTCCCTCTATTTTTATTTTCTAAGTATATTAGAATAGATGAATGCTCATGTAATTTGTTTTACTTCCTTCATCCATTCTACTTATAGTGCTGAAAGTCCTCTTTATTAAAGCGTTGAAGAACCTGAAGGAAGGGGTCATTCTTGCCTTACAGCAATCGCCTGATTCACTAAAGGTCGATTTCAGATTCGGTCAATAAGGATAGTTTGATTATCCAATCCCTTAGGTCAAAAGACTCGCCCTAAAAAAAAAAAAAAGAGTCAAACAATTATGTACATTTCTTTTTATGATACAATCTTGTATAAACCAGATTTATCATTCAATCATAGTTGTTTAACTATTTGAGTTTTATTTTGTTTTTTAATGTAAATAAAAATAAAAAAAGGTTACCATTTTTTTATAAAAAAATATATATTTTATTGGTAGGTAAATAGTAAATACATTCATGATTCAACAAATCACAGATTTTTTTTTTTTTTTTTTGTTTATACATGTTTTTCATGAAATGTAAAATTTTGTTTGTGCTGTAAATGAGACTCCTTCAAATTTCAGTTGCCCACTCCAGAGTTTGACCTTTACTTTGTTGAATTGTTGGCTTGTTCTTCAGTCAACGGTTTGTTTGTTCCATAAACTCATAAACAGGAATATATATATACATAGATATATGTATACACAGTATGCAGGAAGGGTCCCGATTGTGATGTAACATATTCGAATAAAATTAATATAAACGGATAGATACGAATCGTTTAATGACATTGAAAAAGAGTCACACATCAACTAATACAACAAACCATCATATATATATATATATATATATATATATATATTAGTCAAATAATTGAGCCTCTCATTCATGAGATTACCACGAGTCTATGTTGATCTAAAAAGAATAAAACTAAATAAATTTGAAAAACTTAAATCTGGAATGTAAATGTCAATATTTTGGATTTTAAAACTGATGGAAGTTTTGAAAAATGTTGATGCACAAAATTGAAGCTTTCTTTAGTTATTCTTACGATTTTGAAAAAATTTCGAGAGGTATAATGTGATTAGTTTATGGAGTTCCAAATATAGATAAATATATATAAAAACTATTAAGTGATTGTGTTATGCAGATCTTATAATTTTTACATCTGAAAACCTTTTGTAGTTGGCCCTATTAAAAATATTTAATGGGCTACATCACTTCTCAGAAGTAAGTAGTAGTAGGTAAATATTAATATCATTTTTCATTTAGATTGATCCAATACCCTTGAAATTTTTTAACCTCCCAGGCTTGACTCTGTTTTGCCCAGAACTTATATATCTGTAATAATACAAAAAAGCCTTTGAAATATACTTATGTACCCAAAAAAAAAAATAATAATAAAAAAAAGAAGAAGAAGAAGAAGAGAGAAACAGAGAGTGTGAGAGAGAGAAGTTTGATGTTATGTGCTATTAATCAAGGATAACCCAAAAGAAAATTGCAAAAAAATACAAGAATCTCACATGCGCCAAACAGGTTTCAGTAATACTCCTCAGGTTACAGCTTCTAAGAAATAAATAAATGAAAAAAGAAAAAGAAAAAGAGCAAGACTTTGTACAGAAGAAGAAGATGGTAAATGAGAGAATTGACAGGAAATACAGAAATTCGAAGGTATGGTCAATAGGAAGAATAGGCGAAGCGGTGGACGACGGCACGGTCCCTCAGAATTCCATTGTAGAGAGCCATCCGATTTGGCGGTATTTTCCCTTCATTCTCATCTTTCATCAATCTTGATGTTGAGGTATGCTGCCTCCTATACTCTTCACTGTTTCCACTTGGCTCTGCCACATCCTCTGCAAACTGCACCCTCTTCTTCTTCTTTTTCTCTCTTTTCCTTCCATCTACATATACATACATATATATATATATAAATGAATCCCACAATTAATTTTCACTACATAAATACAAAGCCCTTATCAATTAGTATCAAGATTATCATATCCTAGTCAAGGAACAGAGAGTGTGTGTGTGTGTGTCTGTGTGTTTTACGAACCTGATGAGATGCAGGAGCGGAGAATAGGTTGAGAGGATGAGTGGGGGATTGGGATTTTGATGGCGAATTGGGTAGACGACTTCTGAAGTCCAAAAGCTAGCAGAATCACGGTCCCCGACACGGCCATGGCCGTGGCCAACACCACACCTTGTGACCCGCTCAACATTGAACTTGCCATATATCTATATCTATATATGCTTAATTTTACAAAAAAAAATGAGATGAGATGGGGCTTCTTTGAGTGATTTCAGTCTACATGAAGGAGACCGACAATCCTAGCAAAAAGTGTTGGAAATTGAGGGATATATATATATATATATATATATAATTGGGTGATTAAGTGAATGAATACGTAAGCATATATGTGTATTGCTGCAATTTGTACGTCTTTTTCTCTGCAAACCTTTTTTTCCTTTCTTTCTTTCTTTTTTTTTTATTTTTTTTATTTTTTCTCTTTTACACGCCAACCCGTGTGGAAGCTTCCTGCTGACGTCACTTGCTATCACAGCATAGGAGCACCTTCCCCGTGTATTCTTTTCATCTTTCTCTCGACTGTCTCTTGCTAATAAAAAATAACTTTATTATTATTTTTTATTTTATTTTTAATGCAACACTGTTATTTCAAAAATAAACACCAATAATTATTATTATTTTCTTTTGCTGTACTAGTGAGATCCAATTTGCAGATAGGAAAATGACTCGGGACCAGTGGCCAAGTTGAGCATTGAATTTGAAGCTTGACCCCCAACCAATGGAAGAAAGAAATAAATGAAGTGTTCATGCCTCACATGCTCTATAGACAAACAAAGGGGCCATAATTGACTTGTTGACTAGCACTGTGGTGGAGAACTCGAGAAAATCAAACGTAGATTTGGTCTGATTTGAACCATTCTTAGGGTTGACCCTAAAAAACATGGCTACACCTACAACTGACCAAGTCATAGACACCTACAACTGACCAAGTCATATTTTCTTTTTCATTGCACAACTTAATATTAGACAATTCTGAACCATTCTGTTAAATTATTCATTAGGCCATTTATTTATGGCATCCATTAGATAAATTCATATTTATGGCATTCACTGTCTACTTTTCTATTTGTTCGTCATACAATCATCTCGCCAAATTTTGGTCACCTTCATTGTTTCCTTGCATACAATGTTATTTAAATGCCCATCAAATTAGCATAGCATGACTAGCCCTGTGTTCAAAAGTAAATTGAACCCATTTTCAGACCACCCTTCTTGCTTGCTTAGCAACAAAAATGAAAAATATTGTCACACCACTCTGATCAGCGAGTCAGCAGTAACTTCACGGTGTGTTTACAACCTTACCAACGCGAGAATTGTGTTCTTTGATGCATGTCCGATCATGCAAAAATTTTCCCAGGAATTTTCTCGAGCAGTAGCTGAATTCTAGTCCTGGTTTCAAACAAGATATGAATTTGAATAGAAAACCAGTAATCTTCTTTTTCAGGATTTTCTTGGGTACATCGGTAAATATAATGTGATGGATTTACAGAGGCAAATGAAAGGAAGACGTGTCCGGAGTGATATCCCGGGCTACCCGGAGAAGGTGATCAAGGTTGATTTCAGGGTAATGCTGTAAAAGTTTTAAGTTGGCTATAAAGTCGCCACTCAATAGCCTGCTCTTCACGCACACCAGCATTGCACAACACACCCGCAAAAGCATGTCCTGCACATAATGTAGTTTGTTTTAGATAATCAGCATTCATTCAGGCCGGTCTTAATTAAGTATCTGCACAGGTTTCTGTGTGTGTGTGTGTGAGAGAGAGAGAGAGAGAGACAGACAGACAGACCTGAACACCAAAAGGGTTGCTTAAAAGAGAATCCCAAATCCTCAAGATGGAACTAAAACTGAACTCTTGAGTAAGTAGCAAAGTGATCCACCTGAATGCATAGAATTGCGGGTTAACCTGCTCGTCAGGACACAAACATAAGCTTCCCACATTTAGAGCAAAATAAGCACGAGACAACTTTGTAACTTCCATAGACACCTCCAGCAAACTCGAAGTGACAAATGGATTCACAAGATTTAGAGACTTCAAAGGAATGAAATGCACTTGGAAAAAAGAGTTAAAGCATAAGAATTTAGACATTCACAAACAGATGGTTGTTTTAAATCCCTTTTGATTTATTCACCTTGGTTGTGAATTCAAGATGCCTCCACAATTCCTCATCATTGGTTTTTAATAACTCCGATAAGCGGGAAAGAGTAGAATGGATACCCACTGCAGAATTATCTAATTGTTGACAAAAGTGATCCACTGAGTCGCTCAGGAGCCGAACAAAACAAGAAAAACTATCTGCTTCTGCATTTGCCTGAATTAAGGAACAAAATAAGCAATATTGTTGCTCAGTTCATGAATCAATAATGCATATAGGTATTGCTAATTTTTATCAGCAAATCAAATTCAACCTGTTAACGCGGAAGAATGATGCTGGAAAAGATGATGACTAAGATAAATGAATGCAAAGAACCAACTAGATTGACGTTTTGGATTATATCTCTATGTATACATAAATACATATATATATGGAGTGCCCAAGTCTTTACAGACAAAAAATTAACTTGTGAAGACATCTTGGGACCAGGTCTAGTCCCATTAATAATAAATCCAAACAGGAAATGACATGAACAGGCAAAATACTTCTTACACACAAAAACATATACACTTTGCCATCCTTTTACCAACCAAAAAGAGTACGATGTGACCTCAATTGTGCTCAAGACTCGTATTTTCTACTCAATAATCAAGAAATTCCAAATTTAATACATTATTTATGTTGTTCGCTGTTATAGGCTGTATTAGGAAAATCTGTATCTGGTTTATTAAATAATTTTGGTAACGAAAGAAGAACTACGGAATTTAAATAAATAAATAAATAATTAGCTGATCAGTTGGTATAAAACAACAAATATTTGGGCATCAATTCATTTGCAAGTGAATATTTCAGTTCTGTTGAAACCTGCTCATAGACCCTTGTTACAAGCACTCCAAATGTGGGTAACAAGGAATAGAAACTATCCACGAACAGTTTCACCCTAGCGACAACGAAAACAATCACAATATAAAAAGAACTAATTTGCAGAAGATCTTACAGCATTTTGTTCGTCAGTGTCAGTACTAAATACATAGTATATTGGTGCCAGGACCTCATTCATGCCTTGCACATAACGGATTGCAGGATTAAGTTTTGCGAATAAGAGAAGAATGTTTCTCATTGCTTCCTGTGGATGGAATTACATAACAACATCACATATTCAGTAACTGAGAAAGACGTGGGACAAAATACAGTGAGTTTTGTCATGAAAGAATGAAATCCACTACGATCAAAGCAGATAATTGAAAAATTAGTGAGACAATGGAAAACAATATACTTTGTTTCTCCTACTCAGTGATGAGTCCCCTGAAAAAAATTTCATATCTGGGTGTGTGCGTTGCAAATCGCGGTCAATCTGCTCTGCAATCTCAGTAAACTATAAACAATTGTGTGTATTGTCATTAGCATCAGCCAAGCCTAACACAAGGAATGCAAGTGACAACTTAAAACAGAAGAATATATTTACCTCGAAGTACTGATGCCAGACGCTTGCCTTACCAAGGTTCAGAGGGTGATCTTCATGAGAAATGTCTTGTCGCTCAAGTGGTCCATCAATATCACTGTCAGCACACTGCTCGTTAGAACTCAATGCTTCACCTTTTCTCCTTGAGAATTCGGACTGTCTAGATTAAAGCTTTTAATTAGTGGATGATAGCCACTAACCAGAAATAATGCACCTAATATTAATCAGGGTGTATAGAGCAAAACAATTCAACAGCAACATAACTACAAATCCAATGTCTATAAGAAAAGGTTGTTCCTGGAGAGCATCTTACAGGACTCAAGAGAAGCTCCTCCTTTAGCTTAGCGTACTTTAACCGATTCTCAATCAACTCTTTTTCCCACAAGTCACGAGAAGCAGGTAAATAACCCAAAAGCAGCTGCTAATGTGGAACAGTTTAGAATTATATTTACTCATAGTAAAAAATTTTAAGTATTAAACAATTAGAGATAATTATATTAGTTTCTGGATCCCTTTTACATGTAAAATAAAATCCAGCTATGCCAATATCCTACAAACTCGTGGTTCTTAAAATTGAAGCACTCATGGAATCAATAAAAGATAGTATCAGCGGTTGTCAACAATAATATAGCAAACATAGATGAACTGACTGCTTGAGAAAGCATTTATTGGATTTGACTTGAAACTCTACTAATGCTCTAGGTTTGGCCTCTTTGGGATCATAAGTTTATCATATTCACTTTTTCATTATATTCTCCCGTTAATGTTACAAGTCTATTTAGTGAGACTTTTTAATCGACGGCAGTGATTTATGGAGCTTCTAAGAAAAAAAAAAGTTCCATCCCCTTGGCAAAAAACCCATACACCCATTTGCCCCGATGAGGACTTGAACCCTCACCACCTTCCACTTTTGGAGGTCGAGGACATACCACTAGGCTAAAGCCCTTAGTGGTTCTAAGGAAAAAGAAAAAAGAAAATTGAAGGATATCGGTAAACAAATGCTTCAAGTCCTTTTATGCCACACAATTGCATATAACATTACTGGCGATTTATTGTCCACCACAAAATGCAATCTGACTATTTGGGGATTCATTTTTTATCCTCAAACATAATATATTGGTTTAAAAAGACATTTAATGTGAACTGGTTTTGTTGTATCCTATGTATGACACTTACATATTCTGCTGCCCTATTATTATCCATAAAGACACATAACACCTTAGAGAGAGCTATCAAATCCTTGCCCCAAAATAACAATAACTATAACAATTTTAATATTCATTGGAAAATTATAATTAAAAGCAACAATTTGTATGACAAGATACAAAATTATACACTTTTTTTTTTTTTAACCTCGTGGTGTGTTTCAAAATCTGATACAGACAATTGCTATTGGAAAAAATGAAATGATGCTATAATATAGACAACCGAACCAATTAAACAATGGAACCCTAACCTTCCAAGCTGTTGCCCGTAAACCTCCTCCATCAGGAAGCCCCGAACCAGCGATTCTTTGCAACTTTTCCAAATTTATCTCCTTTTGTGTTAACTATTCAATACAGCATTACACAAACAAATTAAAAATCTAAAATGTCAAATGTGCAAAAATAAACCCAAACAAATTAACAATGAGATCCTGTTTGGGTTCTCAGTAAGTGCAGGAAAATGGAAAAAGAAAACCAAAATCTTGACTCATAAATTCTTCATTAGTGAATACCCTAACCAAAAGAGTTGCATTCAGCTAAGCTAATACAATTGTGAAGAGTGAGTTTGACAGTTAGCATAAACTTAATTTTTTTTTTTTTTTTTCTCTCAACTTTCAAGGTAACCAAACACAGGGTAATATTAATATAAATCGATACTTGAACTCTAACCCACTCTAGTCAAACAAATTTTCTGTATTAACTCCAAATACGAAAAATAAACTCCAATCGACTCTCACCTCATACTCTAGGTCCGATCTTTTCTCATCCACGGCGATAATTTTCGACGGAGAAACCGAAGCTGCCACTTCTTTATCTGGCTTTTGCCGGACCCGGAGGTCCAACTCATCGTCGGACTTCTCATCCTCGTCGTCATAGTCGCCGATTTCTCGATCCGACCCAAACCCATTTGGCTGAAACGTCTCAAGTTCTTCGCCGGACTCGAACATCGGATCGGAGCTTACATTCTCTTCGTCCTTGTCTTCGAAGCCGGCGACTAGGCTTCCGAGCCGGTCAGGAAATGCTCGCCGAGCTTTCTCGGGGAGCCTGAGCTTGGCTTTGAGCATCATCGGCGAGTTCAACGAGCGTAGGAAGTGGAATCGTCCGAGCTGAGTTGACGGGTCGGGAAAGTTCCATGAAAATTGTTGAGAGAAGACGAATGTGGGGGTAACTGGGGTTTTGGGGATCCATGACTCGTTTCCCTCTCGGACTCGGTGCTCTCTGGAGAAGAATGGTTGTTGACGGTTGAATGGTAGGTGGGCCTACAACGGACCAACATAGCGGAAATATTTTGATCCATCGAATAAAAACTGTAGACAATTTTATTTTATTTTATTTTTTCTCTCTTTTGGAGAAATTATCAGGGACTACTTGACACTCACAATTTTGACACCTAAACAAATTTAAATAATATCGTTGTGATTGGTCCAAATTATATAAAAATTTATATAAAAGATTAGAATTTGTGATTGTGAAAGTTTATGAAAGATTTAGAGTATTGTGTGAAGATTGGTAACTCTAAAAAGTGTTTTTTTTTTTTTTTTTTTTTTTTTTTTTTTTAAACTAATAAATTACACCCATCTCTCTAAAATCTAAGTGAAAATTGAATTTAACTACACCAACTACTTCTAAGGTATGGTGTAACATTTCAAATTCATTATTATGTTATCTAGCTATCAACAAAGTGAACTGAAAATAAATAAAAAATCAAAATACCAAATTTGCATGTAAAATGGAGGTTCAAATTTGTGTTGTGTAATTATAATCATCCTTTCCTTTCTCTTCAACTTGGGGTCATTAAAAAATGAGGGTCATTAAAACTTTTAACTCTTGAACTTGCATTTCCTTAACGTCACATCTTTGACAATCTGGGTTTGTGGTGGAACGCGGACAAGCAATTTATTTTGCAGAAGACATCCAAATGAGCAACCATGTTGCAGTCTTGAATTTGAGGTGTCTCCTGGTTGAGCTTCAATCGGATATATATGTAAATATATATAAGGCATATCCACTTGTAAAAATCAAACAGCTTCATAGACTTCCACACACACATATATATACAAGCCATTTGCATCCTAGGTTTTCGATTCTCTCTCTTTGGATTCTATAGTTCACGATAGTTATTTGTCAGAAAAATCTCAAGGGACTTGGTTAAATGGATAAGTCATTCCGCATTTGTATCTTTTGAAATAGCGGGTTTAAAGTTCGATTCTGCTTAGGTGCAAATAATTCTTTGAGGAGTGAATGTGTAAATATCAATTAGGGAAAAAAAGTTATTTGTCAAAAACATAATTCAGGGGAGTTATGTACCAAATAATGATAATATACGGCTACTAAAGTGACATTTCACATTGCGGGAGGGAGACATTTGATGAAATTTATATGTGGAGATATCTCATAACTGTATAAACGTGTTTTGAGAAAACTCGTGAACACAAGGAGGAGAATGTGCAAAGAGAATAATATCGGATTGTATCAGAGTCAATCTCCAATTAAAAATGGAAGACTATGCACAAACTCATGTAGGTCAAGCCAATAAGAACGTTGAATCCAAAAGGAATGATTATGACATCCCACAATATCTGGAGAGAGGTTTAATCTACACGGATTAGGACAAGGACACAAGGTCTCGAGAGGTGTTTGCGACGTTCCATGTCATTCGAAGCAATAGTTTGATTTACACAGATTTGGGTGGATCGTGACAATTAATCCTTAATTTAAGAAAATATTGGACACTCCTAATTTTGGAACTGAGCATTTGAAAGTAAAGTTGTTGCTGTACTATAACAATTTTGTGACATTGATAAAAATCATAAAAATCACCATTTTATTTATTTATTATTATTATTATTATTGGTGTATTGCACTAACACCCCCTTTAAGTTAGGTTAAATCTCACATAAATGGACATTTTAGTTTTAATTTGCATTCATATTATAAATATTTGATTTGTATTTCACTCATACCCCCAAACATCAATTTTCAGTGGTGTCATAGCAATTTTTACATGTAAAATGATATTGTTACCTTTTTAACCTTGTGATGACTTATAAAAGACATGTAATCAATTTTAACAAAATGAAAGGAAGAATTTATAACAGAAATTTTAAAAATCAATTTTTTTACCTCTCATGCTTTTGGTAGGTGATTTGTGAAGTTAAAATTGATTTTTAAACTTCACAAATCACCTACCAAAAGCATGAGTGCTTCCTTTTATTTCGTAAAATTGATTTTTATATGCTCCCACTTCGCGACCAGAAAAGGCAAGAAAAAAAAGTCAGTGGGCCAAAAAATCAAAGGCAAGAAAAAAGAGTCAGTGGGCCAAAAAATCAAAGGCAAGAAAAAAGAGTCAGTGGGCCAAAAAATCAATTGTAAACCTGTTACAACTGGAACAATATGTAGCATTAATTATTTTTTTGGCGCATGCTCAAATTTTGAGGCCCCCAAAATAAAAGGAAAAAAAGAAGAGTGAGTGGGCCAAAAAATATAATTGTAAACTTGTTAAAATTTTGTGCCGTGTTGGTTTTGTTCCTTTCATTTTGTTGGTTTTGTGAGAAATGGAAGTAAATGAACAATTTTTACATGTAAAATGATATTATTACTTTTTAAATATTGTGTTGACTTATAAAAGACATGTAATCAATTTTAACAAAATGAAAGGAAGCACTCATAACAGAAATTTAAAAATCAATTTTAACTTCACAAATCCCCAATGACATTTTTACCTCTCATGCTTTCTCATGAGAGGTAAAGATGAGAGGTAAAAATGTCATTGGGGATTTGTGAAGTTAAAATTGATTTTTAAATATCTATTACTAGTGCTTCCTTTCATTTTGTTGGTTTTGTGAGAAACGGAAGTAAATGACAATGAAAAGATTAGAGAGAGAAAGTGAGGTAAAGTAATAAATGAGGGTACTTATGTCATTTTATTTGATATTTGTATTAAATTGTATTTAAAAAAATGGGGGTAAATGAATCAATTTGCATGTGTCAGAGCTTACAAAGTACTTTGAGAGTAGAAGTGAAACTTAAAACCAAAATGATACTCTATATAATATTTGACCTAGCTGAAGGTATGTCAATGTAATTTATTTTCTTCTTCTTCTTCTTTTCTTTTTTTTTTTTTTTTTTTTTAAGTAAGAGTATGTGAATAAAATTAAAAAGAAATTTACAAATTTATTTGGGCATTCCGCGAGACCCATACAAAAGCAGGCCCAACAAGCCCATTAGGCACAAACTGCCTGGCCCATAAATTTTAAAAATCAATTTACACCAAATGATATAATAATGATTTGGTTTTTATTTTTTCTTTGCTGTGTCAATGGAGAGTACTTTGCATTCACACCAAGCCAAACAATTGCTTTGAAATCTCTTCAATTGTTTGGTCTCATTATTAAACCAAACCATATCATAATGGGACCAAACAATTAAATCACTTTAACAAAAACTATGAAGAGTTCACTAGGTAGATTTGTCTTTATGACAACAATCTAGACACGATTGTCAATTAGTGACCACATTTTGTCACGGTTTTTAGCACCTTTCTTGTGAACATGGAGCCTTGAATTGATATATAGATATGTGTGTGTGTGTGTGTGTGTGTGGAAAATGACTAATTTTTGTTGTAAAAATCCAATGCATCTGAGAGTGACAATGGTGGTAATAGCAATTAACACTAGCATGACTAATTGCTATATATTTTGACAAAGGATACTGGCCCATAAATGGATACATGAGTTTAGGTCCATATAATTGAGGACATGGTGGCCTTAATCGGAAGAAAAATAAAATAGAAACGGAAAATGATTGGTTCGTATGGTTTATTTAGGTAGAAACCTAGCAGGAATACCTTAAAATTAGAATGGACCCTGAAAGGGATGTCCTACATATAAATATTATTGGACCCATTTGGACTTTGAAGGCACCTAAATTTGCACACGAGAGCAATTGTTGTTTGGGGTGAACACTGTGACACACAAATATTTATAGACGTGTAAACGAGGTTAGCACAGAAAATACATTCGTCACCACTTGGGACTATGACAAATTTGCCAACAACCTTCTTCATTGTAAATTATATTAATATTATATTTGAAAGTGTAGGATCAATCAGCCTCCTGATATTAAAATTGGTTGAAAATTAATTTTGTTAATTTTTTGGTAGTCTTATACTTCCAATTGTTGCATGAAAATTGTTTTCGCCAAAATTTTTAGAGGATTTTTCTCTAAATGTTCTTTTTAACTCTGTTTTCAAAACTATGTGGCTTTTTGAATGAGAAAAAAAAAAAAAAAAAAAAAAAATTTATTTTGAAAATATAGAACCAAACAAATTGTATACCAATAATAAAATGTTTTGAGGGTTTTTTTTATGAATGCTAGGACACTATAAAACTCGCTATGAGGGTTAAAATTAGGAGAATAACCACTTAATCGAATGACAATACTAACTCCAATATAAATTATTGAATACTTACTATTGAACCATTAGTCCAACGTATCGCCCCTCCTCTCTCATAAGATAGATTAACAGCGACAGAGCCATTTGCCCCTACTAATTTTTTTTTTTTTTTTTTTTAACTAATATATCTTATTAATTTGCATTTTATATATATTATTCAAATTATTATATATAAATAATAATAAATATATATATAATAATTTTAAAATCGATTATGTATTTCTTCCTTTTTGTTCCTATATATACGTGTGTGTTTCTTTTTGTTTTTATTTTTTATTTTTACAACTATCCTTGTATAAATGGATTTAAATAAAAAAGGAAATAAAAGAAAAGAAAATAATTCCTTCACCAAAAAAGAAATACATACGTATATAAAACTAATTATATATATATATTTTTTAAATCTCAGAATCTATCTTGTTCTTTTTCGGATTTTTTTCTATCTCTGTTTTTTTTTTTTTTTTTTTTTTTTTTTTTTTTTCAGGATCCATTTCTTGTGAATGAATTATCCTATCTAACTTTTCTTTTTCTTTTTTCAGCATCCATATCACAATAATTGTTCTTCTTATTATTATTATCATTATTATTATATATACACACACCCACATACACACACATCCCTATATGAATCAATTACAAGAGGAGATAAGAAGAAAGACGTAATTTAAAAGGGTATTTTTGTTTAAAAAGTAGTGTTAGTAATGTCCTATAAAAATAAAAACTCAAAGTAATTAATACATTTTAAATTAACCAATTTTTATGCGACGG